TGAGAAGAGGTCCCTGGGGCCCGAGTTTACACCCTGGGTGGCCCTGCTTTAGCACCTGGGTGAGCCAACCCCCCATCCGCAGAGGTGGCTGCAAGCCACAGACACTCAATGTCTCACTGTTCTGGAGGCCAGAAGTGTGACATCAAGGTATTGGCGGGTTGGCTCCTTCTGGTAGCCTGACAGAGGCTGTTCCAGGTCTACCTCCTGCTTGGTGCCATACTGGGGGTCCAGGTGGGCCTGGGTTTGTAGATGCACCGCTCAGTCTCCACCTCTGTGGCCACAGGCCATCCTTGCTCTGTCTCTGTCTCAGGACCTCTGTCCTCTTATCAGGACCCCAGTCGCATGGGATTCAGGGCTCACCTACTCCCAGGATGACCTCTTCTTAATGAGTTGCATCGGCAATGACTCTATTTTCAAGTGAGGTCACGTTGCTAGGTGCTGGGGTCAGAACTCTGACGTGCCTTTTTGGGGTGCCATTCAGCCTGTAATGCCCCACCACTAATGCCTTCACGGACATGTTCTTCCTTATGTTGGGCCAACATGTGTCCATTCAATGTAGGTGGGCATTTCCGCCGTTTCCAGCTTTGACTCTTAGGAGCAGTCTCACATATGTGTCTTGATATGCTCGGATGCCATTTCTGTTGGGCACATTGCTAGGGACAGAATTGTGGGGCTTGGGAATGTGCACGGATCTCAGGGTGGGATGCCTGCAAGTTGTCTTTTCTTTTTCTTTTTCTGAGTTGGAGTCTCAGGCTGGAGTGCAGTGGCATGCACCCCACCACCACCCCAGCATGGCCATCCTTCCACCTCAGCCTTCCACATAACTGGAACTACAGGTGCGCGCTACCCCGCCCAGCTACTTTTTTGATTTATCATAGAGATGAGGTCTCTCCAAGTTGCCTGGGCTAGTCTTGAATGCACGAGCTCATGCAATCCACTTGCCTCAGCCTCCCCAAGTGCTGGGATGACAGACTGAGCCAGCGAGCCTGGCCAGCCTACGAGTTTTTGAGGGAGACTCTAGTGGGCCTGATTCACTGGCAGAGCTCACAGGGGAGTCTAGAGGGGAGAGAAGGGAACTGGCCAAGGGAGGAAGAGGGCAGGGACTCAGGGCCTAGGTCCTTCTGCGATGAGGAGGGGTGCTTTGGCCTCAGATGGGTTCGAATCTGGTCACAGGCTTAAATCCCAGGTGCTTCTGGAAGATGCCCAGCCACCTAAGGCAGGCCGGAGACACTTCCAGGTGTGAGCTGTCAAAGGGCATCTGCAGCAGGTAGGAAGGTCATGCCCGAGGGTGAAAGGACCCCACGGATGAGGCAGGCGCCAGCAGCATGGCCACAACAACTCAGCTCTTGCAGGCAGTGTACAGTGCTCTCCCACACTGCTGCGTTAATGCAGCTCTTTCCACAGTGCCCTGATCTCAGGCCTGTGTGTGCCTGGTGCCCTATCGCTGTGCACGCGGAGGCGTCCTCATCCCCTATGCACTCACCACACTGAGGCATCCTGGTCCCCCACACACTCAGCCAGTGAGGGTGTCCTGGTCCCCCCTACACTCGGCCACGTGGGATGATCTCATCACCCATGCATTGGCCTCACAGAGGTGTCTGACTTGTCAGTCTAGCTGCTGTGTTGGCATGCGGTGGACCCGCGCCGGGTTCACGATGATGACCATGAGGCTGGGCATCTTCTCGCAGGTGTATTGGCCACTTGGTGCACCCCCCTGCTGTGTACCTGCCAAGTTGTCTGCCTGTGCTTTGGTTGGGTGTTCATGTTTTCCTGACCGATTTGCAGACATTCCTAGTATTTTCAGGGTACAACCTTCCCTGAGTAACTTGCTGGGAACCAGGGTCCCACGGGGGTGTAGTTGGAGCTATTCTGGGTGCTGGCAGAGCCTGTGGGAACAGGGCTGGCACTTGTGGGTTGTATGGAGCCTGTGGGCGTGCGGAGCCTGGGTGCCATCAGCCTGGGGGCTGTGCTCCCTCAAGGCGCTGTCCAGCATCCCATCCTGAAGGGCATAGGTCCCCTATGCAGGCCCTTGCCCTCCCCCACCCCCGTGGCTGGCGTCCTTTGGCACTGGGGACCTGGGGCACCTTGGTTGCTTCAGATCCCCGTGGTCTTGACTGGCTTGTCCCAGAGCCCTCCCCCAGATCCCCACGGCCTGTCCCTGTGGCCCCCACACCTCTGTGCAAGGTCAGAGCTGTGGCCTTGGATGGACATGACCCTTTGAGCAAGGCCCAGTTGTGTTTGGCTAACGGCCGTTAGGCTGGCCCTGCTGCGGGGCTGCTTCACCCACAGGCCAAGGAGACCCTCTAGTCCCCGAGCTCAATGTCCAGTTGCTGGGCCACACACAGTCACCTCTGATGCTGAGATGTCCCTCAGCTCTCAGCTCACACAGCGACTTGTGAGGAACTGTCTTGACCCCAGGCCCATGTGGTGAAGGTAGGATGTTCTCTCGGGAATCTAGGACCAGAACCATCATGTGGGCTGAAGGACACGGAGGCCTGGAAGTGGGTGTACCCGTGGGATGCCCTGGTGAGAGGCAGAATGAAGGTAAGGCTCACGGGGTGGTCTCTGTCCTATCATGAGTCATCACAGGTCATGGCCTGAGGGGAGACCACTGTCCCATCACCCGTCATAACTTGGAAGAGTGACTGTTGTCCTTTCACAGGTGATGGCTTAGAGGGGTGACTGCTGTCCTATCACAGGTCATTATCTGGAGGGGTGCCCACTGTCCTATGACAGGTCATAACCTCTGGGGGTGATACTGTCCTGTCACAGGTCACGCCCTAGAGGTGTGACTGCTGTCTTATCACAGGTCACAGCCCAAAGGGGTGACTACTGTCCTATAGCAGGTGACAGCCTAGAGGGGTGACCATTGTCCTATCACAGGTGATGGCCCGAAGAGGTGACCATTGTCCAATCATAGGTCACAGATGGCATGCTGACCACCATCCTATCACTTGTCAGGTTTAAGATTCTTGTGTTTATTTCAAGTACGAGGATGGCCATTGGGGTTTTCTTAGCTGTGGCCAGACCTAAAGGGATCTAGAAGGACTCATTTGAACACAGGGTGGACACCACAGGGTCAAGAGCTACCAAGGAGACTCTGAGACATGTCCCTGGAAAGGCCTTTGGGCTGGGCGGTGGCTGCAGGCAGGCGGCTTGGCTGGAGCCTGGGTCCATGGGAGCCACAGGGATGCTGGGGGCAGGCGAAGGGCTGGAGGGAGGGCAGGACAGAGCCAAGTCTAGTGCAAGTAGTGGGCACAATATAGAGGAGGAGCAGGGTCCTTCCACAGGAAGCAGGACTGTGGCCTTGGGGTGGCCACTGTCAGACCAGCACCCTGTGTGGGAGCCTGAGGGGGTGGGATCAGGGTCAAACCAGCACCCTGTGTGGGAGCTTGTGGGGGTGCGGTCAAGGTCACAGCAGTACACCTGCTTGGGAGCCTGTGGAGATGGGGGTCAAGGTCACACCTGTACACCTGTGCGGCGGCCCATGGATGTGAGATCAAGGTCACAGCAGTACACCTGCTTGGGGGCCTGTGGAGATGGGGTCAAGGTCACAGCAGTACACTTGTGTGAGGGCCCATGGAGGTGAGGTAAATTCACACCAACAACACACCTGCATCAACCCCCTGCAAGCGAGGTCAAGGTCACACCTACGGAGATCCTGGCAGACATACCTTTGCCAGGCATTGTGGAGGCGAGTGGAAAGTTGGGCTGAGGCTTTGGGTGAAGGATTACCTGCCGAGGGAATGAAGCAGCCCCTGGGAACAGATGGGAGAGGGCCAGGCAGAAAGGGTGGAGCAGAACGTGGCCAGGAGGCTGAAGTGGCTTTTCCAACACAGATTCTTTTATTGTCCTAATGACCCACACTAGAGACTGATGACGGAGACACAGACAGACACGGAGGTGCTGGGTGTCCCACATGGGGTGGCTTCCTCTCAGCAGTAGCCACCGACAACATCAGCTCTCATGTGGCTCCCCAGCACCACGCCCAGTTCCTGGTGCCATGTCCATGCGGGGTCTGCGGGATGGCTGCCCCACCTCCTGGAGCGCCCACACACGCACGTGATTCTGACAATGACTTCCCTGTCCCTGCAGGGGTGGATGCCAGGGCACTGCGAGGAAGTCCTTCTTGGCCAGGGTCCTTCGCTTGGGATCACAATTTATCCTTGCCAACAAAAGCAGGAACGGCGACCAATGCATGTACAGAAACTACCCCTGCGTTCTTGAACTCGTCTGGGTGCACAGGTAAACGTGATGTTAGAAGCTGTTCTCTAACATAAAAAGGGTTGCTACTGGTGCACCATGCCCCAAGAGAAATAAAATCCCAGGAGGGCCGGCTTCAGGCCGAGCAGGCATGGTCGCCAGCTGCCTGCCTTGGGGCTCTGCGCCTGTTGCAGTGAGGGACATGCTCTTGCTTGTGCCTGCGAGGACCCCAGCAGGCAGGAGCGGTGGCCCATGCTGGCTGAGTTTTCTTTCTCTCAGCTACTAGGACATAGACAGAATGCCCCAGCCACACGCAGAACCATGACCTCCAGCACTGTGGGCAGACTCGGTGTGCGGGGCTCACCTGGCACTCACTGCAGCCACTGCTCGGGCAAGGACTTGGCACACATTTGCGGATTCTTCCAGGTCATTGCTGGCAAAGTCAGACAACACAGGACATCAGCTTTCTAAATATGGGTAAAATAAACTGTTTGGGAAGCTATTGTGAGCACAGGGTTCTATGGCTGTCGTGGTCCCGATCACAGGGTGATGGCGGGTCTGTGCCCTGGGCGGCCACGGAGTCGGGGACGGGGTGGGGGGACCTCACACAGGTGGACGTGATGTTAGACGGAGTTCGACCCTGTGGATGTGGGTCGGGGCCTGGGCCTCCCACACAGACCTACAAAATCACAGCGACAGGGACACGGACCCCACCCCGTGGCACAGGGTGGGGTCAGAAAGTCAGAGGAGAGCACAGCTCACTTCCTGCCCTTTTAGCAGAGGTGGAGAGGCGCAGCCCTCTGGCCCGAGACTCAGTTTCCCTTCTTCGTGGGTGTCTCTCCCACGGTGAGATGACCTGGGTCCTTGCTCTGCTCCATCTACACCTTGAGCCAGTGGCGGAGCTGGAAGGAAAAGGGGTTTGTTCAGGAGCAAAGGGGCCACCGTCGGATGAAGGCAGCTCCTGGGTCCACGGCTCCTTGCGACTCAGCGTGGCCTTGGAGCAAGAACACTGCAGACTGGCAGGCCTGGCAGCTTGTCCCCAGGGATAGCTCAAGGGGGCACCAGGCCTGAGGGTGCCAGGGCCCAGACGCCAGCTCAGGTTTCTGTAGCCTGATGTGATATGGAAGTGCTGGAGGTGCGGCTGCAGCAGGGCCAGTGCCCACCGGCATGTGGGCCAGTGGTGGCTACAGTGGCCCCTGGGGCATATATGAGATGCCGGGCACTGTCCATCTCGGTCTGGCTCTGGACTGCACCACACCACCTCGTGGGTGCCCAGCGTGGCCCCTCTCCTCTCGTCCCCACCACTCCTGTCCGAGGGAGGCGGCACCTCCAGCCCCAGCGTGCTCCTATGACCCCTTGCGGGGGTAGAGCGGCCTCACCCGCGGCTCAGGGATGGATGAGTCTGACAAGCATGGCCCTCTAGCCCTCCGGCAAATGTCCCCCCTGCCATGACACAGCGCCAAGTTAGCTTGTTTGAGCAGAAGCCATTTGATGAAACCAAATGGCAGGAGCTGTGCTTTATACGTGTTTTCAAAACAAAGGTACGCAGGGCCGCACTGGGTGCTGGCCGCAGCACAGGGGAGCTTCTCAGCCTGACCAGGACGCAGCACATGGTGGACTGTGCTCTGGGCTGGGGACAGCCGCAGGTGTCACCAGCGTGGGAGAGTCTAGGTACAGGCAGGTTCAGGGAAGGAGTGGGGGTGGGAGCCTGCCCAGGAGCACAGAGTCAAATCAAACCCTAAGCCCCCACCAACTTGATGGACCCCCTGGCTGCTAAAGAGACCCCCAAACACCCTATAGACTCAGCTCCCAGCCATGACGGGACAGGAGGTCAACACGCCCAATTACACCCCTCCTTCTATGGTTTACACACAACTGACCAGCAGTCATGTTAAAACAGAGACCCCGAGACCCACAGAATGGACAAATGGTGGCAAAAACATCCTGGACTCTAGACAGAACCCCAGGCCACGCCAGACAGGGTCAAGTCAGACCCCACACTTGAGGAGTGACATCCGTACTGACTGCCCAAAACTTCTCTTCTTTCCCAGCAGCCGAGCAAGCATGGCCCTCCAGACTGCAAAATGGAACAACTACAGCTTGCCCTGCTCATGGACGCCGATCGACCCCTGCTCCACTAACCACATGCCAGCTCCAACTGGACAAGAGACAAGTCAGTAACTTTCTCTGGATGTGGGACCCACCCACCATGGACTGGTTCTGGCTGGTTTCAGAGTCTGCACACAGACACCCTCTGGCATTTAGGGCCAACTCTAGCAAGTGTGCATGGCAGCCACCACCCCAGAGCAGGCGGGGTCATAGGTCACATGCGTGTCTGCTCAGCACACACGTATCAGGACCACCTTCTCAAGTCTTCAAAGCACCTGATGCCACCAGCTGGATGTGTGTGTTCAGCCTCCCCCTACCCCCCAGCATAAGGCTCAGCGCCTCCTCCCTCGGACGTTCTGGTCTTAACCAGAGACAGTCTGTGGATGCCACCTTGCAGGCCATAACCCCTTGCAAGAAAAAGCCTCTTCTCCTTTTCAAGTTTGCAGATGCCTTTTAGAAAGTTAATCATAGCAGCTCTAGGAGTCAGTCCCACTTCGGACCAGTGGTGGGAGATGCCATGCCTGGGAACCCAACGCTGAGCCCTAGCCCACAGGGTGGAACCATCCTCTGTCCTGGCCACTCACAGAAGTGGAGGGTGACCTTTCCTGGAAGGAAGTGCTTTAGGGACTTCCAGAGTCCCACAGATTATGACCAAGCCATAAACTCACAAATAAAGAAGACCAGAAATGCAAGACAGCACCCATCTGAGTGGGGGCAGCAGAAACCAGACTTCAGCTGGACCCTCAAGCACCAGAGAGCTGCAACAGTCAGATTATGGGATGCTTGACAGAGCGATTTGTGCAAATGACAACAATGAGCACTTCACAAGAAACAGGCAGACCATGCGTGGCATCCAGAGGTCAAGTAAAAATATAATTGTTGGTGAAGAGGAGCACAGTAACAGGCGATGGGAGACAGAAAACTGATGACTGTGGTTTGTTTATGCAACAGAAGATCACGCAGAGGTCAAGGCAAATGAACTGCAGCTAGATGCCAAGGTCAAGATGGAAGAACGGGAACTAAATGCACCCCACCACCTGAAACGACCCATGAGAGTCAGAAGACGCGTACCAGGGATATTCACGACCCCGGACATCCTCTGACAAAGGCCAGTGCTGCCCTTGAGAGAAGCAAGGAGGGGTGGCCCGCCGGGCAGGCCTCCTCGAGGGAAGTCCCAGATGCAGTGCAGGGATGGGGAAGCAGTGGGGCCAGGGGACTCCTGAGCTGTGGGGCTGGAGAGGAGAGCTGGGAGGCCGGGTGGCTGCCATTTGCACGACAGAGTCCTGGTTCGGGGAAATAGCCGCACAGAGGAGACCCGGGTGACCGCACAGGACCCCAAGTGCTCAGCAGAGAACCAACAGTAGTGCAAGGAGGTGGGGAAAGAGCCACCCGCAGGATGCTGGGCGCACTCTGGAGCTCACCCAGGGCTGGGAGCAGGCTGCTTCCGCCAGCCAGGCTGGACACGCTGTGTCTCGTAGGCACCACGTGAGTGCTCTGAAGGTCTTGCTTCAGAAGGGGACATCAGCCCTCACTAAATGCTGCTCTGGCCAGGCTCGGTGGCTCAGCCTGTAATCCCGCACGTTTGGGAGGCTGAGGTGAGTGGATTGCCTGAGCCCGCGGGTTCGAGACCCGCCTGGGCAGCGAGACCTCATCTCTACAATAAATCAAAATATCGGCCGGGCGTGGTAGCGCATGCCTGTAATTCCGGCTACTGGGAAGGCTAAGGAGGAAGGATTGCCGCAGCCCAGCAGGTGAGGCTGCGGTGGCCGGGAACGGCCACTGCACTCCAGTCTGGGCGACCGAGTGAGACTCCAACTCAAAAAAAAAAAAAAAATGCTGCTCTGCACTCACCTAATCACTTAGAAGGCAAGCCCCTCCAGGCATGGCGGCTTACGCCTATAATCCCAGCACTTTGGGAGGGAGAGGCAGAGGATGCCTAAACCCACAGGTTCAAGACCACCTTGTTTCTACAATAAATAAAGAAATTAGTCAGGTGTGGTGGCACGCACTGGTGGTTCCAGCTACTTGGAAGGCTGAGGTGGAAGGATTGCCTGAGCCCAGCAGGTAGAGGCCACAGTGGCTGTGAGTGTGCTGCTGCACTCCAGCCTGGGCAACAGGGGAGACTCCAACTCAAAAAATAAAATAAAATAAAATAAATAAAAAAGGCAAGACCCAAAGAGATTGAACTGCTCCCAAGAAATGTGGTTATGCCCTAGAATGAGCTCAAGAGCATTTAAAGGAATGCAGAAACATCCAGCATCCAACCAGTTATACACCCACGGCATCTGGAAGACAGAAATTACCAGGCAGGGAAGGAAGCAGTGTGACACGGTCCGTGTGAGACATGCCAGGCCACGAAGCTGTCAGATGAGCAGACAGGGACATGGCACCACGATTGCCACTGTGCTGCGTGTTCAGAAGGTTAAGTGGAGACAAGAAAGAAATGTGCCCAATGAACATCTGAGAAGAAAACAGCAACGAGTGAGAGGGTAAGTACGTGGGATGGGATTCACGGCAGACTAGACAGGCCAGAAGGACGGATTGGGAAGTAACAACAGAAAGCAAAGGAAAGCGCCCAAGGGCCCAGAGCCACCAAAGCTCCAGGGCCACTGTGGGAGCACAGGTCTTGCCACAGAAAGTCCACGATACAACACACAGAGGAGAGAGGAGAGAGGGAAAGAGAGGCAGAGAGAGACAGACGCAGAGAGAGAGATGGGAAAAGAGAGAAAGAGAGAAACAGAGGAAAGGGGAGAGAGAAAGACAGAGACAGAGAAGAGAGAGACACACAGAGAGAGAGAGACAGAAAGAGAGAGAGACAGAGACAAGAAGCTGTATCCAATGCTCAGGACAGTCACAGATAGAGGAAAGGAGGGAGACGGAGACAGAAAGAGACAGAGAGAGACAGAGAGAGAGAGAGCAGGGAAAGACAGAAAGACTGAGAGCAGGGAGAGACAGAGAGAGACAGAAGAAAAGGGGGAGAGAGACAGAGAAGAAAGACACAGAGAAAGAAAGAGAGAGAGAGAGAGCAGGGAGAGACACAGAGAGAAAGACAGAGAGAGACAGAGAGAGCAAGGAGAGACAGAGACAGAGGAAAGGGGGGAGAGCGAAGCAGAAAGAGAGAGATAGAGAAGAGAGAGACACAGAGAGAGAAAGAAAGAGAAAGAGACAGAGAGAGCAAGGAGAGATAGAGGAAAGTGGGGGAGAGAGACAGAAAGAGAGAGAAAGAAAGCATCAAAGAGCTGTTCTATAATTTCAAGTGGTCTAACATACATGCAATTGGAGTCCCTGAAGGGAGTGAGGCAGAAAAAATATCTGGAGGACTGATGGCCAAAGAATCTCCAAATGTGATGAAAACAATAAACTCACAGGTCCAAGAAGCTCGGTGAGCTGTGAGCATAAAAGGAATGAGGAGAGGAAGACATTCTCCGTGTGCAAGTGGAGAAACAAACCCAGAAGATGAAATTCATGTAATGCTTTAGAAATCAAGCTCAAAGGAACTGCTTCTAGGAACATGTCCATATATGTGGAGACGCGATAGAACCGGAGGGTAGGTAGCAAGGGGACGATCGGACTAGACTTGGGGCCAAGGCCAAGCAGACCAGACAGGCCAGGAGGCGGGTGCTGGTCTCCATTGAGTCTAGTTTCCAGGTTGTGGCTCACAGGACTTGTTTGTTAGTAGACAAGTACTTTAGAAACGATCCTGTGCAGGTTAATGATAAGACTGTGCTATCCACCTGTGCACCTGAGGTCCCACTTAAGACCTGGGCAAGGGCACAGGACCTGGAGCCCAGGGCAAAGCCACACACACCCGAGCCAGGAGGTGCAGAGATGGGCAGGCAAGGTTTAGAAGTACAGCGGGAGCCTTCCCAGGACTGGCGAGAAGCTGACTCCATAGATCCTGGACACACGAGATATTCCAGGAGGAAAAACACAAAGAATCCCAGGTCCCAACACACCACGGGAAACACCAAAGTCTCAGGGAGCACAACAGTGCAGGGAGCACCGGTCACACCATGGAGTGGCGGCTTTCAGCCAGTGTGTCCCAGGATGGCGTGGACATCAGCAGAGGGAAGGCTGGGTCTCCAAGATGCTGAGGACAGTCAATGACAAGCCAGAACCCTAAGCCCACGAAAACACCGTCATGAATGAGGACGGCGTGGACATCAGCAGATACCTGAAAGCGAGGGGTTTCAAGAGACCTCTCTCCAGGGTTGTCTGCAGGATGCTCTAACAAGCCAGAAAATGATCCCAGAGGGAAGATGTCTGTGACAAAAAGAAGACTGAGTCACTAAACACCAGACGGGCACATCAATCTGAGGAGCATGGATTCATCTATACAAAATAATAGAATCAATACAGACAACAAGTGTCTAATTTGAGATAAAAAGATAGGAATGGAATATTGGACAATGACAGCAAACTAATGAGTAGGTGAAAGATTTAAGTCCTTGTAATCTTCGGGATGGGGGTTGGCAGCTCTTAAAAGAACCGAATAAAATATATAAGTTCCAAACAAGCAGAGAGAAATAAGCAGAATAAGAAAAACAAGCCAAAAAAAAAAAAAAATCAGCCAATAAAAAGGCAATAAAGGAGAGAAATAAACATTAAAAAAATGGGACAGGGAGAATTGAAAGAATCTAGCCCCAGTATATCAATAATCACAAGTGTAATGGATTAATCTGCCTAGTGTCAGAGTGAAAAATTCTAGGTGTGTGCTAAGTTTGCAAAAGACACTAAAGTCTTAAGATCACTGTCAAGTTGAAAAGTAACAGAATGCAAAAGAGATTTCAGACCATCTCAAACCTCCCCCTCCCCCAATGCAGCTGCATTCATCTTGGAGAAAGAGGACTTTCAGAGCAAAAGCACTATTAGGAAGAGAAGATGGGTTCACAGCACCAGGAAGATAAGATCTTTGTAGATAGGGCCCAATCTCAGAAAACAGCTTCAAATGACAGCAAAATCTGACAGAGCTACAGGGGAAAACTGGACAAACAGCCAATTAAGCCATCAAGGTGGAGTATGCCACAGACATCTTTCAGTTACTAATGGTCAAGTAGATTTAAAATTTACAAAGTACGGAAGATTTGGGCAACAGGACACACAAAACTAATCAAGGAGACAGAGCAGAAATGTGTATCAACAATTAGAGAATATACATTCTTCTATGAGACATGTAAAACATTTGTCAAAGTTGACCAGCCCAGGCACTCAGGAAGTCTCAATATATCTCAAAGAACAGGTATCATATGTATCTGAGCACAATGCAGTCAATTTAGAAATGAATAAAACATCCCATCTCTTTTTTGAATTTTAAAGCAGACTTCTAAGCAAGTCATGGGTTGAAGAAGTTACAGCAGAAATTAAAATATACTTATAGCTAAAAGATAAAGAAAATTCTATGTAAAAAATGTGGAATGCAGCAGCAGAGGGGGTATTTTGAGGAAAATTCATAGCCTTGAATGCTTATATTACAAAAGAAGAAAGGTTGAAAGCCAATGATCTAAGGTTCAAATAAAAAGGTTAGCAAAGTAGAATAGCATAGATCCAGGGAACGTAGAAGAAGCAGATCAGGCAGGAGCTGAGACTGATGAGATAGCAAGCAAAAATCTCTCGCAAAGTTGGGAAGACTCAACTAATAAACGATATACAAAGTGCAGCACCCTCCTGAAGGACACTCAGAGGGCAGGGGACCCGTGGGAGGGGCTGAGCCCCTGGATAAGGGATGGGGAGCCCAGTGCTCTTATGCTTGGAGGAGGCACGCCACCGGAGGACCGAGGAAAGAAGGGTGGGGGGAGGAAGGACAAGACAAGCCGCACAGACGTGTGGTCAGAGGCCACCAGCGGACTCGGGGCAGCTTCCCTCCCGCACATCCATTTGTTCAGCACCTTGTTCGGCCTAGCTTTGCCACCACCCCCACCTCCCCGGGTGCTCAGAGCCCTCCCTCTGCCTCTGTCGAATCCCCACAATACTCAGGTCCCTTCTGAGTTCCTGTGGTGTCACCTCCCGAGATGGCCCTTGGCTGTAGCAGTGGACGGGCAAGGACACTGCCCTTGGGGTCCTCTGAATTCTCCCACGAGGGGCCCAGCAGGGAGCGCGGCCTCACCGTGAACTGGCGCACTTCCCCTCTGTCCACCAGCTGGCGGTCCTTCTCAGGAGTGATGGCGTAGGCCAGTTTCTGGAAGAGAAGGATATGGTTGGCGCCAACTCACACCTGCCAGCCCACACCCACTACCCTGCACCTCTAGCCCATGCCCACCAGCCCACACCTGCCAGCCCACGCCCACTATCCCACACTCCCAGCCCATGCCTGCCAGCCCACATGTATTACCCCACACTTCCTATCCCACATATCCCCAGTCCCATTCCCGCTAGCTCATGCTCACCAGCCCACACCTTCCAGCCCATGCCTGTTAGCCCATACCTGCCAGCCCACACCCACAGTCTCATGCCCACCAGCCCATGCCTGCCAGTCCATACGTGCCAGCCCACACTTGCTACCCCACGCCCACCAGCCCACGCCCCCAGCCCACATCCACCTAGGTGAATAGGCTTCCCTGGTGGACACCGGTCAGACCTGGCAACTGACAGCCTCCTTAAACCCTAGCACAGGGCAGGAAGCCCATGGTTGAGGCCCCACAAGAAATGGAAAGGGGTCCTGGAGGTGGCTCTCATCCCCGCATGGGGTAGGTTCCAGTAGGAATGCACCCAAGCCCAGTGGGCTGCCTCAGGGTCAGCCGCACCCGCAGGGGCCGGGAGTGCTTGCTTTCTGTCACATGCAGCACCCAGGATGGCAACCACCAACCCACCTTCCTGCCACCACCTGTCACATGGGTCCTAGGCTGGACACACCAAGTCCTCCCAGAGCTCCGGGAGCTCGAACCTGGGGGCTGAGACCCCCGTCTCTGATTCTCTGAGACCAGGTTTCCCCTCCTGGGGACCCCTGGGTATGGCCTCATCCCACATTATCACCACAGTCCCATGTGTGCCTGGCGCCGTGGCTGAACTATCAGGGTCAGGGAGCTGGCTATTCAGGCCCGCTGGGCTGCAGACCCTTCCCCAGGCCCAGCGCCTGCCTGGGCCCCTCCTCCTGAGTCTGCCTAGACACCCCAGGGGCCATCTCAGGGCTGGGGCCGTCAGTGTTCGAGTCTGGGGGACACTGTGTGGCCCTGAGGCAGGATCCCTGGACTTGCCAGGTGAGCTGTGGGGCCTCACAGTCCAGGCTGATGCAGCTGCTTCCACGAAAGACTGTGGGACTGAAGCAGGGCGGCATCCACGCAAGCCCAATGGGGGCTCTCGGGCAAGGCGAGGGCCTCCAAGGAGGATGTGTCCTCATCGCTCCCAGAAGTCACAGGCCAAGGGGGCTGGACAACGGGGCCTGTAATTGGCACCTGGCCTGCCTTTCCACAGAGCTGGCAAAACTGAGGCAGAGGAAAGTGGGGGCCTCAGCAAGACCCTGCAGCACCCCATCCCCCGCTGCCCCCGTGCAGCCAGAGGGCTCGGTCCTGGGGACTCAGTCTTAGGGGGTCTGGGTCACCCGAATTCACCCACCCTCAGATGGCTGCTGTCTACCACACTGTAGCACATATGGGTGCTTGCACACACGGCACACACAAAGAAACACACTCGGGCACATGGGCATGGATGCAGACAAGCCCACAGACTCAGACACACACAGAAATATGTGTATGTGCACAGACACAGGGATGCAACGGACATGCACACAAACGTGTATACACATGCATGTAGACACATGTATGCTCTCATACATAGACTCAGATACAACACACATACATGAACTCAACGGACATACACAGGCACGTAAACACATGACATACATTCACACAGGCACACACAACATATGCAAATGGACACCCAGTACACACACACACGTAGACACAATGGACACACACAGGCACACACATATAGACATGCACACACACATAAACACATATACAAATGGACACAGTACACAGACACATAGGCACAATGGACACACACAAAGACATGCAGACACAGGCACACATGTGTATACATGAGCACACATATACATACTGGCATACATAAGCACAGACGCATACACATAGGCACACATGGACACACACAGACACAACCATGAGCACACATACACACAGTAGGACACACTCCTACCCCCTTTTCCCTCTCTCCACTGTGGCCACGCCCCCAGCTTCCACCTCCCGGCCAGAGATGAGCCTGCAGGAGAGCACCTGGGACTCACCCAGCGAGCCTTTCTGGTGAGGGCGCCCCCTGCGTACCCACCTCTCTGAAGGACCCGGGCAGGCTGCAGAACTTGTAGGCCGCATAGACGGGCACCATGGCCATGGAGGACGTGGCGATGACCCAGCCCAGGGCATTGGCCCAGTCGGGGAAGATGTAGGCTCCATAGCGGGGGGGCCTGAAGGTCACGATGCTGACCACGACCACAAACTGAAACCAATGGGCAGAGGTCAGCGGCTCTTGGCGGCGGGCTCCGGGGCAAAGTGAGGACCAGGCGTCTCATGGTGGAGGGTCCTCAGCCCCACGGCTCTGCACATCCCAGGCCTGGCCTGCAGACCAGGCACCCTGGACATCCATCCTGCTGCGGGGACAGTGTCTTCCTGTCTTGTCCTAGCCTGTTCTGTTTCTTGCTTGAACTCAAGCAAAGCAAAACAGGTCACCTTGAGGACACTGGGCCTGTGACCCGTGGTTGAGAGATGTGAATCCATGGGCTGGTGACCCACATGGGACTCTGGGCAGCCTGGGCCCAGAGCTCTGCTCATTCTGGAAGCAAACATGATAAACTCACAGGCCTCAGCTCTGGGCCCCCACTGCCATGGTGAACTGCAGGAGCGGGGGGAGGTGGGAGCCAAGGCTTGCTCTCCGAGCTCCAGAGAGCTCTATTCGAGTCAGCTTGATTATTCATTCGTTCAGCCAACATGTACCACGTAGCTACAGACACATTCTGCGTTCCTACCTGGGGACTGCAGGCCTGTATGTGTGCTTCGTTCCCAAACACGTATTGTGTACCTATGTGTGCCCCGTAGACCCACACATGTTCTACGGTGTTCCTACGCATGTGCCACACACCAGCATATGTACTGTGCACCTATACGTGTGCTACATGTCTAAACATGCCTGCACATACCCTGCACACCTACATGTGTGCCGTGTGCCCACACATGTACTGCATGCCTCACACGTACTGCACGCCTGCATGTGATGCATGCCCTAGCAAGATGGGTCCTTCCTGAGGAGACAAAGGTGGCTCTGACAGATGCGGCTTATGGTTTGACTTAATATGTGAGTGTTTGGCCATTGCCAATCTTTCTCCATTTTAGAGAGTTAAATGTTTAGTCTACCTGGAGAGAGCACTTGGGGGCAACCCCTTCGGGTCCCCTCCCACTGCGGGAGCTTTTCTGTCCTCTCAATAAATCCTGCTTTCTCACTTTCTGGCTGTCCCTGTCCCTCATTCTTAAAAAAACAAAACAACAACAAAAAATAAACACAGTCGGGCTCAGTCTATAATCCCAGCACTTTGGGAGGCTGAGACGAGTGGATTGCCTGAGCCTGCGGGTTTGAGACCCACATGGGAAACATGGAGACACCTCGTCTCTACAATAAATAAAAAAAAAAGCAAGTACACTTGGCTCAGCATCTTTCCACGCTGTTGCTTTGAGTCCTCTTTGGGTTTGGGGGGCCAAGGAGCAGGGGACGGGCCTAGGACTCGGGGCTGCATTCACCATGTGAGCAAGGGGACATCTGTGGCTTGCATGAGTGACCTGAAGAGCTGCAGACCGGGCGTCTGTCTTGGCCACGCAGACAGCTCTGAGTACATGCTAAGAGTCGCGTTCCCCTACATGTGTGCGTCTGAGCATGCGGCATGGCCCTGCTGTTACACTGTCTCACATTGTTTGGCCTCTGACCAGACAGCACATTGCTTGGGCAGTGCTGTGTCCACCGAGGCCACGCTCTCATGTGAGTTGGCCTCGGCTGGTGGAATTGACTTCTGAGAAGCGTCATGGCCCAACCTGCCACGGAAGTCAGACAGAGGTGAGCCTGGAGTGGCACCATCCTCACCGCCAGAGGCTGGTGTGCCACGGCAGGAGGATACACGTCAACTGGAGGGAACGTCAACGTTGCACAGAAATGCCCCTTTTGCCAAACTAAAAACTCCTTAGGGAAGGGGCTTTGGACTTCACATGAAATGACATAAAGCAATGGTCATGTTTCCCTCCATTAGCAGCTACACTGCTCAGCATGGCCCGTAGGTCACCTAAAGCTCTATAGAGCCTGTTCAGTGTGAAGTTCAAGGGTGCAGCTTGGTGATGGGGAGGACACTTTGCCTCCTGAGGCCAGCCCTGGGGGTCGAGGAGGACTCGCCCACGGGGGAGGTAGAGCCCTCGCTCAAGATTGCGCCATTAAGAAAAGCAGTCCTGGCCAGGCTCTGGCTCAGCCTGTAATCCCAGCACTTTGGGAGGCCGAGGCGAGTGGATTGCCTGAGCCCGCGGGTTCAAGACCCACCTGGGCAACTTGGTGAGACTAGTCTCTACAATAAATAAAAAATTAGCTGGGAGTGATGGCACATGCCTGTTGTTCCAGCTACTTGGAAGGCTGAGGTGGAAGGATCACCGGAGCCCAGCAGGTCGAGGCTGCAGTGGCCGGGAGCGAAACTCAAAAAAAAAGAAAGAAAATAAAAGCAGTCCTGTGCCAGGCTGGGACCACAGGAGAGCAGGCGTGTGGTGGGTATCCTTGGAGGGCCCTCCCTTTTCCTCCCAAACACGAGCACCATGTGTCCTGCCCATGGCTGCCAGTGAGCACCAGGCTGTCCATGGGGGCTTCCGGGGCAGCTGCCTAGGCTGGGAGTTCTTACGTTCAGACACATGCAGTCTAGAGCTGAGGGATAGTGTGATTTCTATGAGACGCCGAGTGGGGTCTCAGCCTGTTTCCAGCTCCCCCAGGACAGGGCCAGTCTTGCGTGATCCTGGACCCCAGACATTGGCCCTGGTACTCAGAATCCCTCCGCATTCACCATGGGGCTGTCCCACCTGCTGCATGTTGATGGGGAGGGGTCTCCATGAATGTGGGCCCCGCTGGCTCTGGGACCGCCCTTGAGCTGGTCTATGTGGGGTCTAGCCTGTGTCACTGGCCCCATTCCAGGCACGGCCCTTGTGACTCTTGGAGTAGCTCACGGAACTCTCTGCTGAGACTGGAACAGCCAGCTTGTGGTCACCTGTCCAGACCAGACTTTGTTCTGGCAGTGCCAGCCATCCTGGCCTCTGTGGGGTCATCCATGAACACATGGATGTGGCCACGTCCCAGGAAACTGTTTATAAAGAAGACGTCTGGGGGACCTGACTGGTGGGCCCTGATTTGCTGGTCCAGCCCAGGAGAGGACAGCCAGGTAATGACTGGATGTGGTGGTGCTGCCTGAGTCGTGGAGAACCCCAGGCGAGCGACGGGACTAGCTGCGTCACCCTGTCCTTGGGGTTTCCAGCACTGGTGTCCCTCTCCCCTCTGCCCAGAAGGCCAGGTTCTTTCTGGACCCTCACAGAGGGAGTGATGGACATCCAGCTTATTCCTGCCTCCCTGCCACCAGAGGTGTGGCCCATGGGTACGGCTCCCATGGACCTTGGTGGGGCCCAGGGTTAGACTCCCACGGACTTTGGCGGGGCCCAGTACTGGACTCCCAGGGACCTCGGTGGGTCCCAAGGGGGACTCTCACGAACTTTGTGGGGCTCAGGGCAGAACTCCCACGGATCTCAGTGGGGCCCAAGGCTGGACTCCCACGGACCTAGGCGGGTCCCGGGGCTGGACTCCCAGGGACCTTGATGGGGCCCAAGGGGGACTCCCACGAACCATGCAGGGCCCAGGGCAGAGCTCCCACAGACCTCAGCGGGGCTCAGGGTTGCCTGGGATTTCACTTGAGCTTTCCTCTGTGGGTCTGGGGGAAGGCGGAGACACCTCCAGGAGCCAGAGGAGTTTAGGGACCAGCCTGCACCTCCCATTGAGTCCTGAGACCCGGCTCCAGCCGCAGCCACCCCAGTCTCAGAGCTGCATTCAGCCGCCCGCCCCACCTGGGCTGCCTGGCGGGTACTTCCCTCGAGCAACCCCCAGGTTTGGCAGCTGCACCCCAGGGCCGGCGTCAGGGTGGGCAGGGGACAGAGGAGGGTGCAGCCCGCAGCCTGCGGTCCCTTACCAGGAGGAAGCAGGGGCTCACCAGCTTCCAGCACAGCCGCCAATACAGGCCAGGCCTCTTCCCAGTCATCTGCTTGATGTCATCACTGAACTGCCCGACGCCTGGGGGAGCAGCGACACAGTGCATCAGGATAGCATGTTCCCGTGATGCTGGACATACCAGGGCCCTGCCGAGCCTAGGCCCACTCCACGGACCCCAAGCTCAGGCAGCACCCAGCCTCCCGCAGAGAGAGCCAGGCCCCTCTCGGCTGCCCGGTGCCCTGCTGATCTGTGTGACCTCAGTGCTCACTCTCCCGATGATGACACCCGGGAGGCCTGAGCTTGGCAGGAACCCTGTGGCCTGCGACATCCACCCACCCTCCTCTTGAGCACCTGTCCCCTTCTGCGACTGGCACTTTCTTTCGCTTAAAACATTGCAGTAAAATGCACGTGACATGAAACTTACTTGCTCAGCCGCGTCAGGCACACAGTTCAGGGCATTTGCACACCCACAGTGCTGTGTGACCGCCACCACCATCATCTCCAGAACTTTTCATCTTCCCAAAGTGAA